GGAAACAAGGGAAATAATGTAAAATTGATGGCTATTCAAAGAGGCAACGTTCCCAGTATCTTTGGTAGGTACACTGCCTCGATGAGCCGCATTGGATTACAATAATTGTTTTTTTTTGCGTGAATATAAATATACAATTGTTAGTGTCGATATAAAAAGATGTTAGAGTAATATATTATCCAAGAAACTCTACAAACTAGAGTCAAGAAGGGAAATCGAAGGGAACAATAAAATGAAGTGACAATTTCGAAATTTAGGAAATGGTATTAGAATTGTAAAGCTCTATAAATATAACACAGATCAACTAAGTTAAATATGATTCTGTATTTTTGAAACTTGTACATGTTTCAAGTTTTTTGTTTGCTTATTTGTAAAGAAATAACTAAGTTTTTTGTCAATTATCTCGAGGGATCGAAAGCACTCCGAACTGACGGTGGATTTGTCATGTCATCAGAGTCTGGAATAGACCTACATGAATAAAGATATCTTGCATTTTATTCGTTAGTTATTCTTTTAAATAGTCCGTGTATGAAATAATAATACAAGTAAAAATTAAAAAAATATTCCATACATATGTACAGTCACGCCTGCTTTACAAGATGGGGTAGTTAAAGTCAACTGTCGATGTTGTTGGTAAACTCAACACTTGACATGACCACATTTTCCTCGGTATATTTGAATCCAACACAAGAATATCATCCTTACAAATAAATAAAATTGAAGTGTCTATTTCTAATTTAATATTAGCAGCTTATCACAAAAGTTCATTATACAACATCAAAAAAAATTACTGTCTGTTTGTTGTTTATCTCTGAAATAACTGAACCAATTTCAACGGGACTTTCACTCGCAGATAGGATATATTGTAAGGAGTTACCTTGGTAATCTAGACGTATTATATAACATTAATATTAGATAAAATTGTGAAAGTATGAAATTTATTGCTAATTACTACATAGCATTTATGAGAGGATAGTAGCTAATTCATAATAATAATAGCTAATTCATGAACAAATTTTCCCAAGAATTCTTGATCCTAGCCTCTTCCTGTTAGGGCCAATACACATTTAATTCCATAGGTATTCTACTGGCATTTGACTTGTTATATATCCTTTACAATTGGACTTGAATTGTAGCTCGACAAGCATATTAAGGCACTATTGCAATAAACGCAGAATGTCTAGTTTTCATATGCCATTGCAAAGCACTTATTTGAACAAACGTTTGTTCACACATATCGCACTTGTGTCTTCTGTCATTGTCGTGTATACGCAAATGTGTTTGCAGATTCTTCTTCCTAACAAATAATTTAGAGCAAAAATCACATTCAAACTTTTTTACACCAGTGTGCTTGAGCATATGCTCCGCTAACTCTGATTTCATGTAAAATTTCATATCGCAATACGTGCAGGGATTTGGCCTCTCCTTCAGATGATGCCGTTTTGTATGATCGTTCAACGTTCTGCGTCCAAAGAACACCTTTTGACAAATCTGACACTCGAACTTCAACGGCTGAATGTCATGTACCTCCGCCAAATGCCTCTGTTTCTGCAAGTACCCCGAAAATTTTGTATTGCAAATGGCACATTTGTTCCTGCCAGTGGATTGTTTTTCGTGATAACTCTCATGTGCTTTCCTCTTCTGCAGTGTGTTGTATATCTTTGGACAGAAACTACATTTGAAGACGCCAGTTTTATGGATCGATGAGTGGAGTCGTAGCGCCATCTCCGTCACGAAACCCCGCTCGCAATCGGTGCATCCAAAATTTTTATAATGACTATGCATATGTTCTAACAGTCCCTTGAAATTTGTGAATACATCAAGACAGACGTGGCATCGAATAGATTCTCCTTTGAATTTGAACGGAAGAATTTGATTTTTTATATCGTAGTGCACTTTCTTATCATGTTTACTGTGCAGATGGTCCATCAGATCCTCGTATGAATACAGATATAGATTACAGAGATTGCATTGTAGATCGGTTATGTCTAACTTCACATAGTACGCCACCAAACACCTTCGCGTTATAAAACTAGTTTTCTCTACATCTGAATGGATGTCTATGGTGTGATTTTTAAGATCTGCCGGTACGATAAACAGATAATTGCAATAGCAGCATCCATAGCCAATACCGTCATGGGATCTAATAGGCGTCGCGTTCGAATTCTGCAGAATCACTGACATATTTGAAATATGCTTAGCTATTTCTTCTTTATTCCTCTTCCTGATTATTTTACCTTTTAAATTAGTGTCATTAAGTGCAGACACGTCTACTCTTTTATTCATTCCTCCTGATATTCCGCTTTTGCTGTTATTCGTTGATCGACTACCTACAAAAAAAAGATGAGCTTAGTTTTCTTACGTTTATTGTTACAAAAAAACACATTGTGATTATTACAAATACTTAACTATGTACTACAATCATCGAATCTTCGAGATTTCGTATTCTTTTTGCTGTACGTGTATATTTAACATTTTTTAGCATGTAATATAAGCAAAGCATATTTTAAATATTTTATATTGAACTTGCAATTTATTATAATAATATTCATCTTCACATGTAATAATATCGTAACGAAACAAAACTTGTTTGCGTGTTAAGACACACGATAGACAGACGATATACATAAATAGAATTATATAAATTACGAGTTACGTCGTTTGGTCGCGACGGACTCCCTACTGAATCAACTAAACAATGCGCAAATTTGATTTGCACATTGTGTGCAATTTGATGAAACTTGAAAGATAGGATAGCTTACATCTCAATTTATAGTCGCAATATTATTTTATTCAAGAAACTTAGCCACAGCAAAGCGTGGCGGTTCTGCTAGTAGAATATATGTTAAAGTTTGCAACTTGTGAAGCATTGCCTGTCATTCTATGATTGCAATATGAAAAATAAATACACAATTTTGGTAATATATATTTATATTATTTATACTTTTATTTCACTTATATAATTGTACAGTTTCGGGAGCTTAATGGTATTCTCTACCAAGTGACCATTAGGTAAGAACAGAAAGCGGATGATGGGCAGCGGTGGGAAAGGACAAATCTATAAAACAAACTTTAAAAAACATTAAATATTTTATACATATAGTTTCATAAAATATTTAATGTTGTATTAAATATAGAAATGTATGCATCGAGTGAGGAATCGAAACCGCGATCATTGGAAATAAGGCGGAATGCTAAACCACTAAACAGAGGCCATCAGTAGTAATTACAATTATAATATACAGTATATATATATCTTCTTCCTCTTAGCTCTTTCCCACTTTATGCGGTGTGGTCTCTATATAGTAACAATAATAAACTTGAATTAATAACAATATATACAGTAACATGTATATATTGTTATTAATTCAAGTTTATTATATACAATATGCTATATTATTATTACAATTTACATATATATATAATAACTGGGCTAACAAAAAAATATAACAAATATAGGTAATTAATTAGTAACGACAATAAATGATTTTGTGATCTAAGTTAAAATTTGTATACATTTATATATACTATATTTAATTTAATGTAACAACAATATCTCTGATGTAGTACTAATAAAACTGATCATTTCTCCTAACTACAAGCGTCAATACATTAATTTATACTAATACTAGCTGTTCTGTCTGACTTCGCCCGCATTAAATGACGATATTTCCATATAACTTTTCAACCCCCTTTCAACCCTTTACAAGCTTTTTTCGCATTAAAAAGTAGCCTATGTCCTTTATCAGGGTCTAGAATGTATGTGTACCAAATTTCATTCAACTAGGTTCAGTAGTTTTGGCGTGAAAGCGAGATAGCGAGATACAGAGTTATTTTCGCATTGATAATATTAGTAAGGGACTGGCTCCCCGCCCCAGTTTCGCACGGGTGTACATGCATTATACATATAAACCTTCCATCTTCATTCACCTTCATCTATCTATTGCTAAAAACTGCATTACAACCTGTTGCGTATGTTAAAAGATCTAAGGTGATTTCTCGTTAAACACGACATTTTGAGGTTATTTTTGTTGTGAATTTTATTCGATAAAAAATGCCGTTAAAGTGTCTAGAACCCAGATAACGGAAGGTGTACCAGCGAGACTCGGCCTGGATTCGTCATAGACTGGAGCAAAAGGATGCCCTTTACAATGCAGGTTCTCTACTTTATGGCGGACGACGAATCAATGTAAGTTAAAAAAAAAAAAAAATACCCTGTTTTATTGTCTCTTAAAACTTTAAACGCGTTTTTCTCAAAACTATGTTTTCAAAGACGCGTCAAGATTTCTCGCTACTCAACCGATCTTGATGAAATTTTACACAGGTCTTCGAGATATCCAAGCTTGAACGAAGGATTTTTTTTTATTTTATTTACAACTATTTTTAAAAAAAAAATGTCGAGAAATTTTCAGCTTTGCATTTTTTTTTTATAAAAACGGCCAAAAATCTCCTTCGCCTGACGTTTATTGTCTTTATAAAACACGTATTTTTTATTTTTATTTCAATGATCCTGAAAGAAGTTCTGCTGACAACGCGGAGGCACCTTTTTACCGAGGGACTGCCGGAAATGGCGTCGTAATGACCGTTTTGATATTTTTTTTTTATAATTTTGCAAAATGTTTATTAAATATGTATCTTTTAAATAAAAAAAAATCATTAAAATATTTCATTTTTTATATGTAAAAAAAATTATTGAAAAAAAGGCCGTTTTTTGCCCGAGGAAACCCATGTAACCCCTTATACATATAAACCTTCCATCTTCATTCACCTTCATCTATCTATTGCTAAAAACTGCATTACAACCTGTTGCGTATGTTAAAAGATCTAAGCGAACAGACATTTTTTCCCACTACTCTAATGCTGTTTTATGGACGATAGATTGTATATGACAAATAAATATAATTTTTGGTTCGTCGTATTTTCAGGTCAGAAGACAGACTGGGAAGCGACTTCTTGTATATGACAAATAAATATAATTTTCGTTCTTTCTTATATACAATCAACTATACAACAGATTGCTAAGTTATTTGGTCCAACACTTTCGAGCCAACCGACAAAAATAGACATCAACTACTACGATTCCCTTAAATTGGTTAAGTATATCACCAGTTACTAAACTATATGAATTCAATATGTTTTGACCTCATATGTCCTTTCAAATTACACTTTTGCACAAATGTCTGTGTACAATATTCGCACTTATATTTACGATCATTATTATGTATTCGCATATGTTCTACCAGAGTGTTCTTCCTACCATACGATTTCAGGCACACGTCGCATTGAAACCGCTTTATTCCCGTATGTTTCACCATATGGTACGTCAAATCAGACGTATTGAAAAACTTCTTGCTACACTCTGTACATTGGCGCGATCGCTCCATTAAATGATACCGTTTCGTGTGTGCATTCAACGATCTGCTGTTATAAAATGTCCTATCACACGCCAGACACTTCAGTTTCACGTGGTGAACACCGTGCACTTCGGTTATATGTTTTAGTTTCTGTCTGTAACACACAAATGTCGAGCTACAGTATCCACACTTGTTTCTACCACTTGGCTTAACATGATAACCTTCATGCGATTTCTTTTTCTGTAACGTGTTGAATTTCTTCGGACAGAAATCACAGCTGAAATCTCCAGATTCGTGAATTTGATTATGATAAGAAAGCCGTCTCTCGTTCACATAACCCTTGTCGCAAATGGCGCACACAAAATTTCTATAATGACTGTTCATATGTTCTAAAAGTGCTCTGAATTTCGTGAACGTGATCAAGCAAATGCAACATCGGATTGCTTCACTGTCGAATTTGAACGGCAATATTTGATTTTTAATATCGAAATGCAATTTCTTCTCGTGTTTAGAATGTAGATGTTCCATTAATTCTTCATATGTATTAAGAGCTGTGTTACAAATGACACATTCCAAATTAGTTACATCCAATTTCAAGTAGAAGTCCATCATGCTCTTTCGTTTTATAAAACGAGTGTTAGCTAGATCCGAATGCACATCTATAGTATGTCTCTTAAGATCTGTAGAACTAACAAATAAATCACTACAATAACAGCATCCGTAGTGTATCCCATCGTGACATCGAATAGGCGTAGCATTGGAATACTTTAGAATTTGTGACATGTTAAAAATGTGCTTGATCAGTTCTTCCCGTTTGGTTTTATTAACACTTTTATTTACTTTAGTATAACTTTTTTTAGTCTTAATTTCATTACGGTCCGATGCCTTTTTAACATTTATAGCCACTGTACCTGGTCTTTCATTGATGTTAGAAGTGGACGGACTACCTACAAAGAAAAATAGTCTTAGTTAGACTTCATTTGTTTGAGATTTATTATCATAAAGTGCACCAATATTATTACTATTTGAATACTTATGTACTACACTTTGGGCCGTTTAATTCGTTGTTAGAAATTAATATGTAATATGTGTTTACTTGAATGTTTTGAATGTTTCAATATTTAAAGGATGGAAAGAATTAGCTGATAAAGTAAGAAAAGAAGAAGTGAACATAGGGTGAAAGAAATAAGACAGATATTGAATACTATTGAAAAAAACGAGGGAAATTCTTGTAACTCTAGATTATCGCCACGATTAATATATAATAATGAGGGAAAAATATAAGAAAAGGGGGAGGGAAAGACCAAGGCACACTTACATCAAGCAAATTAAAGACATGTTGCCGTGTGATATTATGTATGTATTTACAGAAAAAAAGTATTTATTTCAGTTGTCCAGTACCCATAACATAAGCTTTGCTTAGTTTAGGAGTAGACTAGACAATGTTCCTGAGTCCTAAGATATTATATGAAAGTATTTATAGATACATAAAAAAGGAAAGGATTATGTATTATGCAAATTATATTATACGGATATCGTTTTTCTTTGTTTCAAATATAGAACATTGTTTTAACAATGGTTTGTCATTACCTTTTCTCACCCTTCAATCAAAGCAGAGCTCACAAAGTAATCTGATTGGCGGTATAAATAGACAGATTCATGTACCTACGCACATGAATTTCTTGAGTCTACCTTGGTCATAATTTACATTCGAAATTGTGTGGTATAATACAACCAAGGTGATGAAGATATTCGAAAAGAAAACAATTATAGAGGCAATATATTCGATACAAATACGAAATTACATCACTGATTCCTGATGATCAGTGAGCATATGTGCTTTCCAGATGGCCTTCCGCATGAACACCTGCCCACAATAATGACATTGAAACTTTTCATTATTGTGTGTTACCCGTATATGCGTGCAAAGTGCGTTTCGTGGCATAATACTTCAAGCAAACATCACATCGAAACTTCATGCCAATACGAGTATGTTTCATTGTGTGTTGTTTGAGAGCCGACTTTCTGTAAAATGTTTTATCGCAATAATCACATTTATGGTGTTTATGCATTATATGCACACGATTTACGTGCTCTTTAATGATTCCCTGGACGCAAATATTTTATCACAAGCAGCTTGTTTTAATCCCACTTTTATGGAATGGTATAAATGGAATTAACTATTTGTACTTGTATTTATTTGTAGAAAAAAATATCCTAGTGTTTGTAATTGTCAAAAGGTTTGTATAATAGAAATTGTTTAAAAAATCGTTAAGGAAACATAATATTAAAACATTTTGAGTGTATTACTTTTAGTTTCTCAATTAATTTGGGAAAAAACCAGGCTACAAACCAGTATGAAATGGATTATAAATCTTGCAACTTGCATATCGTATATAGCTCACAGAATAATTAGAAATGTATGAAAATTGTATTAATTTTTTAGTTTTATGTAACTAACCATTACGTACATCAAATTTCCTCTAGTCTCACCTATGGTTAAGAATAATAATAACTCAAAGTAATTAACACAGCACCATGTAGTCAAAAATTAAGGAGAGGTTGTATTATGAAATCTAAACTCATAGTAATACTTAAACACATTTGTTTTTGTAAATATAAACATACTCATTAATATAATTGTTGGTATCGTGCAAGGTATCGAAACCGCGACCATAAACTGTAAGGCCGTCAATATTAAACTTTTCTTTAAAATTAAGTGAGCACTCAAAATAATATTATTAAGCGATTATGGAATGACAAAGACGACGATAGGCTCTCCATTTTCCACATCAGATTTTAATATATGTTTTATATAGTCATACCAAGTGTTGACAGACAGCGACTATCAACCACAGTGCAATCACGCATTCTGACCTTCTTCGGCCACGTATCTCGCCGTGGTAATGACTCCATAGAGCGTAGTGCAGGGAAAAATGGAAGGCACCAGGCCACGTGGTAGATCAGCAATGAGATGGACAGACCAGATCAAGGCCGCAACTAAGTGCTCAGTTTACGAATGTACCAGGAAAGCTACAGTCCGCGACGAATGGCGCCGTATTACCAAAAACCTCACTCATCGTGATTCAATATGTTGAACACGACCACTCTGACAAGAGTGTACCGACTAAGAAGAGAAGAAGACCAAGTGTTGTATTCGCCGTAACTTATAATAAGACAATAAACATTTTATTAATGAAGAAGTAAATAAAAACGATTTCTTATTCTCCGTTTATTCCACATTACACACACAGAATACGCATAAATTCATCACTAAACAGTATAGAAAGCTTTCCGAGATCATTGGCTGATTAATCGTCATCATCTTTTTCATGGGTAGAACTGTGGCGGAAGAGGCCGCTGCGGTTAACGAAACCAGCACCGCAAAAATTACAGACATAATTCCTATAATGAGAATGCATATGTTCGAGTAAAATCTTGAATTTGTCGAACGCGGCCGAGCATATGCAACATTTCAATTCATCTCCGTAAAATTTAAATGGAAGGATATGATTGTTTATATCTGTAAATATAGATATTCCATGTACATTTGTTAGGTGTTCTTTAAAAGATTCCAAAGTCTCAATGTTAGTGTTGCATAATTTGCAAGATAGTGCTGTTATATCTAATTTTGCTAGATATTCCGCTATTCCTTTTCTTTGAGCGATTCCAAGATGGTATTCCCCTGTGTGTGCTTGTAACGTATGTGCTTTCAAGTCTGCCGCATCTGGGTATTTCATAGGACAATAACTGCACAGATACCCATTCCCTACACGACATCTGAGCAGCGATGCATTCGAATTCTTTAGTATCTCTGCCAGATTCGTGTGGTGTTTCTCCATTAACTCTTTGTGGACAGTGCGGGACATTTTCGCGTAAGATTTGAGATTAACGTATTCTGTTTCCTCATACGTGCCATCTTTGCCTTCGGATATGACGACCGTACGGCGTTTCCCTACAAAGAAAATAGAAATCATTCAGTATTGCAAATACAATACATACATAATACAATTATCTATAAACGTGCAACGTTCTATTTGACTAAAGCATACTTACATATGTCATTAATAACAATATTTTCATTTACTATATTATGATTCTTTATAAATGTAACATTTTGACGAAGTAATAAGACAGTACAGTATGTAACGAAACTCAAGTATTTGCTCATTTTCCAAATTAGTTACAAATAGCTTACTTAGCTACAAATAGCTCATAAGGCACAGAATGTTTATGAAAGCTATTAGATGGTGCCTTGTGGTTTTTATTTTTATTGGCGTTACCTAGTTAGTTTTGTCATATTTACCAGAAATACATAGACGTTTCTTTTATCAATAAAATGATTCAAACGTGAAAAAATTAACTGAAAATTACTTGGAAAAAAACAATAAGACTTAAATTTGCATTTATTTCCAATTTCGATATACACCTAACTATATAAAGTTGTATTCAAAAATATATTGCTATAATATTACACCATTTTTATTGCACAAGATCCCCATGCTTAGATCGCACATGTCCTTTCCAACTACACTTCTGCACAAAAGTTAAGCCACAATATTCACATTTGAATCTACGATCGTTTACGTGGATACGCATATGTTCCCGCAAAGTCTTCTTTCTGCCGTAGGACTTATGGCATACATTACATTCGAACTGTCGTTCACCAGTGTGCTTCACTAAATGATCCCGTAATTCGCTGCTCGAAAAAAACTTCATGTCACACTGTGGACAATTGTGACGCCTTTCCATCAAATGGTCTCTTTTAGTATGGATTGTGAAGGCAGTTTGGTTCACAAAAGTCTTGTCACAAGCCTGGCATTTACGAGCCAGGAGACGTACACCATGGACCTTAGCGATATGATCATCTTTCTTCCGATAGTCTTTAAACTTCTCATTACAATAGCCACATTTGTTTAGCAAATTTGAGGTTATATGAACTGACTTCTCGTGAGACTTCTGTTTACGTCGGGTGTCAAATATTTTGGAGCAGTAATCGCATTTGAATGTTCCAATTTTGTGTGTCTCCTTATGATGGAGTAAAATGGACCGATTTAGGAAGCCAGCGTCGCACACGTCGCAGATATAATTTCTATAATGCACATTCATATGCTCCTGTAATGCCTTAAATTTATTAAAAGTAGTCCTACAAATAATGCACCTTAAATATTCGTCATCAAACTTGAACGACATTATATGGTTCTTGATGTCTGTGAACATTCTTTTATCATGTACGCTAATGAGATGATCAGTGATTTGTTCTAACGAGTCAATATTTGCTTCACATATTGTACATTTCAACTGTGTTATGTCCAGTTTAACTAGAAATGATGACATCATCTTTTCCTTCATGAATTTCAGTTTAGTTTTATCATCATGCGATTCTAGAGTATGCATCTTCAAATCTGCTGCATTTGGGTACTCATTCGCGCAGAAAGAACACGCGTACCCAATGCCACCACGACACCTTATTGGTGTCGCGTTTGAATATTGCAGTATCATTCTAATGTTCGCGCGTTGTTTCTCCAACTCACTCATTTTCATTTCAATATCACATATTTTTGTTTGCTTTAAATTAGTTTTAAGATTTTTAGACGTTTCGCTCTTACCTATGACGAGAACATTACGTCGGATACCTACAAAGAAAAGTAAACATTATTGTATTTAATTATGCCTGAGGTATTTTTATTTAGCGCAATACTCAATCTTTAAAAAGAAGAAACTAAATTGTCAAATAGAATCCATGCCGATAATCCAAATGGCACCAATGATTATTTATTTAGTAATGTCTTAGTTGCAATGTTAGAAATACAGTATAAGTGTTTTAGTATTATTAAGGATATTTACAAAATTAGCCGGTACCCGATGCATGCTACAGTAGAATGTTCTAGAATTACAGAAATGTTCTTTCCAATACGACATTCGCGCAACCGCGCAATGTATGTTAATTATACCCATAATCTTTAGCCAAATACGAACAAGAATTTGACAGGTATATGGCAAATAAGATAAGCGATACGACTGATCAAGTTGCGAACAGTGATTAGATTTTTTGTTTTATGTAGCATATGCTGGTGGTCACTGTATTCTCCCAAATCTGAATTTAAATGACAGTGAATTGTTAACAGTGAAAGTGATATTTCGTATCATAAGAGTCTGTAATAGACCTACATGAATAAAGATATTTTGAATTTTGATAGCTCAGCATGTAATAATTCATCAATCCTTTCGTTTTTTATAATAAGAACTCTTGAGATAAGAGTTCTAGTATAAAATAAAAAAGAGTCAACTGTCGATTTGAAAGAGCACCGTAGGCTATTGAATGATTGCCCAACTCATAGACCTAATTTGCCTATTGAAGGATAAGGTAAAGTTGAATAATGAGGTAAAAGTAATAAAGATGATATTGCATCTAGTCGACACCGCAAAGCCTACCTGTTTCTGTCGTTAAGCAGATTACTATGCAAGCTGTTTTCTGGTTTAAATCGAAATTTTAAGTTTAAGATAAGGCAGTGAAATAACTGGTTATGGAGGCATGACACCTTAGTTCTCAAGAACAGCAACTCATAAAGGTTTCATATACAAAATTTCCATCAGATGTGCGTTCAATTTACCATTACATAAATAAGATTTAAAAGATGCGCATTAACTCTTTTTAAAATATACGACTGGCCTCGGTGGTTTAACGGTTTAGCACATCGCCTTGATTCATATGGTCGCAGGTTAGATTCCTCGCATGATACAAAACATTCTAAGTATTCATAAGTGTTTGTATCGGTCTGGGTGTTTTCTATGTTATTATGTATATATAAAAAACATAGCTATGTATTTGTATTAGTTATCCAGTATCTATGATACAAAATCTGCTTAGGACTAGATGGCGCTGTGTGAATTGCCTGAGATATTATATTATTATTTTCAGTAGGAAGTGCACGAATGTCTTCAGGCAGTGAGTTCCAGAGACTTGAGACTAATAAATTAGAAGAATCAGACATTAAACTAATTCTACGGAGGGACGTAGCCAGGACGAGGCATCATATTCATCATTAGGATACAGAATAATTTAGATGACTTTTGTCAACCTCAAAGTCATAACCTAGTATAAAATAAAAAACAAAATATAAATTAGCAGAAGTATATTAAGTTGAATTAAATATTGTATATGGTTGATATTTTCTAAATCTAATAGGCATGTATCACAATATATAAACCTAGATACTAATAAACTGAGACCAATAAATTCGGCACGTTATACAATATTATAAACTGTTCCGGTACCGAGATTCTTCACCATACATCTTCTTGTCCTTTACATTTTAACTTTACATCAGATTATATTTCTGAGAGACCAGTGATAGAAACACAAACAGGCAAACCAAATCCTGTGAATCCATTTAATAGTTCCGTTTACTCAGCGTAAGTAATTTCAGCTCGTACATTAAATTCAGTGTCTTTATTACCGTCACACAAATTTTCATGCTCTCTTATACACTGTACTTTGAGCAACGTAAGTACACGTATGCAAATTACTATGCTAACTAATTTTTGAGCCATTATTTCACTGTTTGACATAATATCTTTAAGTATCTTCATTCATCATCATCTTCTTCAATTATCTCTATTTACTTTGCCGTATCACCATTACCATCCCATTATTTGATAGTCGACGCTGTATACTTCTATCTTCCTTTACGTCCGTACGTACGTACTATCCTCATCAGACCGCAATATCTGAGATCATTCCATTTATACATACCAAAACTTTCACATAGGTCATCCATCGTTCTCTGCCTTTATAGGTTCGCCACATAGTGCAAATAAAATATCATTACATCATAAAATTCGGCACGGTTTCAACTGTATTTAACCCTTATAAATCAAAGAGACATAGGCCTTTATATACCACAATTAACCTACTGAAACCACTCATTTAGGCATATTTTGCGCCATCAAACTACTTTTCGATATTCCATGATTCTTTTTCATGTGCTTCCCTTTACTATTCTGAGTAGCATAAGCCTTGCCGCATACATCACATTTATATTTCCTCTCATTAGTGTGCGTTGCCATGTAATGCCCAAGCATATGCCGTTTAATAAAGAATCCCATGCTACAAACAGAACATTCATAAGGTCGTTCCTTCAAATGAACACCACGCATATGTAGCATCAAATTGGACTTTAAATTAAATTTCTTTTCACACATATCACATTTGATACCCTCAGCGTTATGCACCTGCATCATATGCCTAGTTTTCTGATAGTAGTTCTTAAACCTAGCCTTGCAAATTTGACAGACACTATCGCCAGCTATTCCTTTATGAACCGTATTAACATGCGCTTTGCGTTTAGATTCCGCTGTGAACACCAGCCCGCAGTGTCTACAAGGGAAACTAGATTTTTTCTTCCCATGAGTCGTTTCATGTCTATTCAATCGAAAGCTGTTCACAAATCCAGCGCCACAGATTGTGCAAATGAAATTCCTGTAATGAATATTCATGTGCTGCATTAACAGTTTCATGTTATGGAACACTTCGTTGCATAAACAACAGTTGATCTGCGGTTCGTTTGTTAGTTTAAACGGTTGGAAATAGTCGGTCACGCCGAGATAATACTTTTTATCATGCTCTTTGACTAAATGTTCTGTTAAAATGTTTAGACTGTCCATATATTGATTACATATTGTGCATTTCAAATCTACTATATCAAGAAAAGCTACAAAGCTAGCCAACCCCGAACCAGCTTTGTACGTCGGTTTCTCTCTAACGTGATCATTCTCCGTATGGTTTCTTAGTATATTCGCGTCAGGGAATGTTTTGAAACAGTAAGCACAAATGTATCCGGCGTCGTTTCTGTCCTTGAAAGGCGTTGCGTTCGAGTACTTGAGTAGTGTTGTGAGGTTATGCCACTGTTTCTGCATCTCTGGCACATGTTTTTCGCGGTACACTATCTTATCTACTGTCTCACCATCTTCCTTTATGGCGCATTTTCGTTTTTTGGCTCCGCTTTTACCTATAAAAGAAAAATAATCTTTCACACGCCGTTTAGTCTTCTTAATTATAAGCATTATTTGTAGCACTGTTATATATTACTATCCGATGTTTATATCAAATCCAACGTTTGGAACTCAATAAAACATATATAAAACAAAAAATAACTAAATCCACTAAAAATGTTCATAAAAATATCTTTCATAGGCACAGAGAAAAAATTATATTGTTAAAAGTTGTCACCATGATTACTCCCTTACTATAGAGTTAGGGACATGTACAACTAATCGTGTAGTCGTTCTAGAGCAAGCTACAAAAACAAGGTAAAATTCCTTCAATAGACGCTGGTGAAGATTTCATAGCTAATCCGGACAGACCCTTTGAAGCTAAACATCAGAATATATAAAAACGTTATAACTTATGAAGGCTAGATGACCTAAACCTTAATTATATACAGGAATATAATATGTTAATAACGGAGATTGTTTTTTTACTATTGAAATTTTGTAGGCAAAATATAATTCATGTATCAAATAAATTATATATCGGCTTGACTGTTGCCAAATGTGGTAGTCAGAGGCATTGCCAACAGTCGATGTACTGGTTAAATACTGTAAAGTAAAATGTATTTAAGTGCATCTATCTGTTGTTTAGTATTCATAGTATAAGCTCTGCCTAGCTTCGGACTTGATGGCACTGTGTGAATTGTCTTTACGCTCTGTTGTTATTATTATACTAATGTGAAATTAACAGTCATAGTGAATATTTGTTGTGTTGAATTTTTCGAATGATGGTGAAATCTAGAAACTTTTAGAAATCAAATTTAACCAAACCTAAACCCAATGACCATCAGTTACATCACCTTACTTTGTTGCCTATTCTAAATTTCTACCATGAACTATCTGATTACCCACGAGTTGAGTATGGGGGCAGAATACTGTAACACAGGTTCTGTTCCATTTTCTCTTATATTATTATATTTACTAGATTTTTACTGTTCAACAAGGTCTGTAATCTATCCATAGAATGGAATAAATAAATTTCCTATTACCATATTTAAGATTCAGTTCAGAAAAATCTGTGTGCTAAATTTATCAACATTCGAAATACCTAGTTATCAAGTAATATTAAATACTTTGTATATTTCATAAGGCGGATCCGTAAATTATGAATTAAAAACAGCTTGATGTAAATATAAAACTTATATATTTATTGTGTATATAATAATAACAAATAAAATCACAATAATTACATGTGTTCTAGATGTTCAAATATAAGAATAGCTGCAACTTTAAAAACAATATATGTGATCAGATATTGTAGAAACCTCATGTAATTCTTCGCTACCGTTAAAATATAAATTTTCGGTATATATCTTTCCCTAACTTTAGTTGTAGATAATTTTAGACTATCTTTTCTACAAAAATATCTAAATTTGATACGAAACAGCATATAATAGATATTATCTTGACGCAATCACTTTTTGAGAAATAGAGAGCTCTGAATTACTTCCTCAACATAATTTTAGAGTACTAGGACAGTCGCTTAAACAAAGTCCATTATTTTTTCCGCTCGCGCTTTCTTCTTGGATTCAGCAGCAATCTCTTTTAACGTCATTTCTCTATTATCTATTAAGTGCTTCACATCGTCAAACTCTTTAAATATGTCCAGATCGTCTTGATGAAGCCGGACGTGACTCTTCAGACTACATTTCTGCATGAAGGTCTTTTTGCACACCTCGCATTGGTATTTCTTCCCGTCATCATGCAACCTCATGTGGTCCCTCAGTGTTCTCGAGCGCGAAAACGTTTTACCACAAACGTCGCAGGTGAATGCCTCTCCGCCAGAATGTCTCGACAAATGATCGGCTAGGCCACGCTTCGAAAAGAACTTCGCATTACATTTATCGCAGAGGTAACTCCTCTGCTGCAGATGATGGTGTTTTATATGTCTATTAAGTTCAAATTTCTTTTTATATGTCTTGTTGCAAGCATTGCAAGGATATACAATTGGTGTGCCGTTATGCACTTTGACTAAATGCTCACTTCTGTCATAGTAACTAACGAATATCTCAGGGCAATGAGGACATTTATTCCTTAGCCAGCCGCCAGTGTGTACCCCCTTTTCGTGATTACGTTTCTTTGTGAGAGAAGTGTAAGATTTCTCGCAATAACCGCAAGGGAAGATTCCCTGCGCATGTGTCTTCCCATGCTTCCTGAGCGCTGCTATAGTAATATATCCAGCACCACATTTTTTACAACAATAGTTCCTATAGTGACTACTCATATGGTGATATAAATTCTTAAACGATATATGGACGACTGTACATATAACACAAGTGAAATTCTGTCCATTTTCCAAACGGAATGGCAATATTATGTCTTTTATATGTTTATGTATCGTCTTATTATGTACATTGATCAAGTGTTCCTTCAGATCATTAAGATCATTCATTCCGACATCACAAACGGTACATCGGAGATTTGTAATATCAACTTTAATAGGATTGTAACTAAGTTTATAATCTATCATAGAGTTCAGTTTGTCCTTTTCAGATTGTTGCGCTGTATGGGATCTTAAGTCATCGATGTTCTGGAAGGCTTTGGCGCAGTAGAGACAGGAGAATCCGCGTATAGTCTTATCCCTGAACGGACTGGCGTTGGAGTACTGTAGTATCGCAGTTAAGTTTACCCTGTGCTCTACACGCTCTGGTGTTGCGCTTTCGTCGCCTTTCTTTTTTCTGTTCCTGCGCTTGGGCGCGTCGCCATCCGTTCCTATAACAAGAAACGAGCATCTCATTATCTTGATCCATTCTATCTCTTCCTTATTTATTATTGTATATTTAGATTCTTTGCTTCGGATGTTCGACGTTGTCCAAATACCGAATAGCATTGTTTTCATATTTCTATCAGTCGCTAATTAGGCACGTATCGTCAGATGAATGGGTGTAGAAAACAAACAAGGAAAAATAAAATCAATTTCTTTATTCATAAGCATCAAAATGTTACACCAACAATTACATTGTATGCAGTAGAAATGTCTAATGTTAAGATTCGTTAAGTGTTTAGACACTTGAAATAAATATGATTAGTACACTTTAATGAAATTAAAGATATAGATAAATAGATAAATGATAATTTATTCGCTTGAACATTATTTCCTTTATAGTGTAGGTCTGCTGGTGAAGCTGTAAAAGCCAGCTGCTGCCAACAGCATTAGAGTAGTCAGAAAAAATAAAGTTTAAGTGTAGGTCTTACAATAAAATAGGGTAAAAATATGAGAGACAAAAATAGACAATCTTACTTTCCTAAAATAATAAAAAATTACAATAATATTCTTTTTATATATGATTGTGAGGTAGTAATTTATATACAAGGTTTGTTTATTACAAAATTAGCTTTTATTTTAACTTTGTCAACCATATGTATACTATCCACTATGTTTTACAGCCTCGTTGGTGTAGCGGTTTAGAACGCAACGCATCCCTCCGCACATCCGATGACCGAATTCGATTCCTCGAACGATATAATAATTAGTATTCATGAGTATGATCGTTGTATTTGTATGGATGTTTCCAATGTACATAATGTATGTATTTACAAAAAATATGTACCTAAGTGTGTCTATCAGTTGTTTAGAACCCACACTACAAAGTTCTGTTTAGTTTGAGACTACATGGCGTTGTATGAATTGTCCTGGTAACCCCGGATTTTTTAATATTACTGGAACATTGTTATCATATTTCCGTCATAGCTTTAAGGGACATTTTTCTATCCTACTTGCAATGCATCTTCAAATTAAAAAAGCATTTTGCAGGTAAAATGATTTTGAACAGATATTTGCACGAGCATTTATAGAAAAAAAATATAACGATTGTTCCTATGCCTAATTACAATATTGTTATAGAAAATAGTCCTATAAAAATAATGTTTTCTTCGTTTGTAATTTTGCTTATATCTAATAGAATAATTATTTCAGTTACATCGATCACTGTAGCAATCTAATAATTATTTGAGTTTATCTAAAACTCGGATAATTATAGATTTTTATAAACTTCTTCATAAATTTCCTTTCACCTTGAGCATACACGCATTTATATATGAAAAACAACGCTAAACCAAAATGAGTGACAAACCAAACTTACCTCTATCGAAATCAAATGACAAATCCTTAACTCCAAACTACTCTGCGCCGTTCCACAAATGAAAATTGTAGACTTCTTAACATTTCAAATTTAGAATACAACATTGTCTTACAGCTAGTTGTTATATTCATTTAAAACTTTATTGGCCAATAAATTATGGTACAAAAGCGGACTTAATGCTATAGGCATTCTCTACCAGCCAACCTTCGGTAAACGCAGAAATATTCGATGGTGGTTTAACATTGTTGATTATATAAATTATGTTCAAGGGACAATTCTGTTAAAGATATAATACAATAGCCTACTGTGCCCCGCCGATTTGTAGATGGTTTGTTTTTATACAGGAATAAAAAAATATATAAACATATACAATTTTGAGTACAAAATAAAATCTCAGACATCAGAATCATTTTCAGACATACTACATTGTTCAGAATTTTAAGTTTACACAAAGTATATAAGAAAAATTAAAAAACGATGATCTTAACGATTGAAGCCGCGCATAAAGAGGTTATAGTCCAGTACAACAACAGATTTATCCTTTCCGACTTCTGGGCGGTGGACCGTCGATATCATAGCTTTGACTAGTTCGTCCTTCCACACGTCGACACTCAAATCCTTTGTAACTGAAAGATACGTCACCCTCTTTCATGTTTTCTTCGTTTGTTTTCAGTGACTCCGGAACTCTTTGGTGTGTCGAAGAGTGTCCATAGTGTCCGTTCTGTGTCTAGTTTTTAAGAGCCTTACTATCTGTAATGGCTAATATGGGACACAGTCACCTAGATACATAAAATAATAATTGCATTTAATAATGTCTAGTAAGACAAATTCAATATTGTCTACTAGGCACTGCTGTATCTAAACTGTGTCACCCCACC